TAAAAGGTATATAAAGTAGGAAAGAAGACATAATACTATCTTTGCAGATGACATGATTATCTATGCAGAAAATCCAAAAGAATCAACAACAACAACAAAAAACTTCCAGCACTTGTAAGTAATTAAAGCAAAGTTGTAGGATATAAAGTTAATATTCAAGCATTAATTGCTTTCCAACACTAACAATGAATAAGTGGAATTTTAAACTAAAAACACAATACCATTTACATTAGTGCCCCCAAGATAAACTACTTAGGTATAAATCTAACAAAACATATACAAGATCTACATGAGAAAAACTGTAAAACTCTGTTGAATAAAATCAAAGCATTAAATGGAGAGATATTCCATATTCATGGATAGAAAGATGCAATATAGTCAAGATGTTAATTCTTCCCATCTTGATCTACAGATTCAATGCAATCCCAATCAAAATCCCCAAAAGTCATTTTGTGGATACTGACAAAATGATTCTAAAGTTTATATGGAGAGGCAAAAGACCCAGAATAGTCAACACAATATTGAAGGAGAAGAACAAATCTGGAGAACTGATGCTACTTGATTTTAAGATTTACTATAAAACTGCAGTAATCAGAACAGTGTGATACTGATAAAAAAAAATAGACAAATAGATTAACGGAACAGAGTAGAGCTCAGAAAAGGAATCCCAAAAGTATAGTCAACAGATCTTTGACAAAGGAACAAAGGCAATACAATGGGCAAAGAGAGTGTCTTCCCAAATGGTGCTGGAACAACTGCATATCCACATGCAACAAAATGAATCTACAGACTCTACATCCTTCGCAAAACTTAACTCAAAATGGATTATAGACCTAAAAGGAAAATTCACATCTATAAACCTCCAAGAAGATTAACACAGGAAAAAAAAACCTAGATGACCCTGGATATGGTGATGTCTTTTTAGAGACAACATCAAAGATATGATCCACAAAAGAAATAATTAATAAATTAAACTATATATCAGTTAAAATTTCTCTGTGAAAGAAAATGTCAAGAGAATTAGACAACAAGCCACAGGCTAGGAGAGAATATTTGTAAAAGACACATCTGATAAAGGACTGCTATCTAGCATGTACAAAAATTTATTAAAACTCAACAATAGTGGCACAAAAACAGACACATAGACCAATGGAATAGAATA